CTCTCTCTCTCTCTCTCTCTCTCTCTCTCTCTCTCTCTCTCTCTCTCTCTCTCTCTCTCTGTATGTACATTATCGAAAAGAGCAAATTTATAATCGAAACAGTGGTTCGCTTTAATTCAATACTCGAGTGTAGAATTTCCGTTGAGGATAACACAGAGATAGAGGAACATATTCGAAATACGGTAAATTTGCAATTTCCATTAGAACAGGAGTTTCGACGACGAAAAGAGTGTACAGAAGTTATAAACTAAGTATAATGTGTCCATAAATATCAATAATAAGCGATGGAATCAAAACGAAAATAGCAAACCAGCGGCCGCAAATCGAACACGTACTTTTGCCCATACACATAAACATACATTCATACTGGTGCTGATTTCGACCCCACACACCGTCGTACACCCGAAAATCCTATCAATTTGGCCGATTGAAGAGCATCGGGGAGCGCACGTCTTTACCATTGATAAAATATGAATGCAATTCGATATTATTCGTGTGCATTGTTGGCGCTGTATTTTCAATTATCATGCTCATTGGGTGAGTACCAACCACTTCAGTATATCTCTCATCAATTTAGACAATCCCAATTCAATACTTGTAATTGCTTTTTGTTCTCGGCTCATGGACGGTTTTTTTTCTCTTCTTTATTCATTGTTCATGTCTATTTTTTCATTTGCTTTCTCTTCCCCGATCACGAAACTCATTTTAAATGATATCAATGGGTTCGAATTTCTTTTTATTTGCTCATTTTATTTGTTCAATTTTGTGTTTATCCATTTGTTCGACTGACGTTTAAACTTAATTTTCGGAAAATAGTAATAACAAAAATGGCACGAAAAAACGGTATGAAAGTAGCATAACAATTGAAATGCATCATCGATAAACTGGCGAAAATAAATAGTAAACAAAGAATTTCAACTATTTTACTCGCCAGATATTCTGGTTATTGCAATGGTGTTTTATGTGCACTTCATTCACTTCGAAACTGCAATTTAATTTAATTGTAATTTATTTCCATTCGATTGCATTCGGAATTTCTATCCTGCTCACGCTTTGTTCGTCATTCATTTGTTGTTTGTCGGGATATGCGATATTTTTTTTTACTGCAAATATAAGCTTGACTTTGATTCAACTGCTACTGCGTTGATTCAATGAGGCTTTTATCTCTTTTCGCGGTTATGCAGTACATTTTCATTTTTTCCCTTCGCACTTTGTTATTTTAATTTGTCTTGTTAATTTCCACATCAATTTGTATTTAATTAAATTTTCATTGTTCACCATGGTAATTTCATAAAATTTAATGAGAAAAATCGAACATGCATATACAATATGGTGGAAATAGTATTTTTCGGTTACGATTAATGTTTCTATCGGCGTTCACGTCAAATAACCATTAAAATCAATTTTCACCGCTCACTTAAAACCATCATCCACTAAAAAAAACTTTGGTCAGAAATTGAAAACCAACGAAAATGAATACAGCATGGAATAGGGCTGACAAACTAGCAACGCCATCATTTTTCATGATTTTATAGACATTTCAAGCTTTTGACGGTTAGATTTGAATTTTTTGAGGTCAACCTACTATGTGTAAAATATGTATTCGCAATTTTAAAGTTTTAGGCGAAATAAATAATGTTCGCAACAACGAAAAAAATGAAGCATTAGTAAGTTTGTGTTTTTTGAGAGCCAGCCTTAGTTTGAGGGTAACTTTACGAAGAGTTACTTTTTGAAGTAGTCCATTTAAAATTTATTGCTTTACAAAGTTTTGTGTGTGTATGTTTGGCAGCGACATGTAATGAAAAGTCAATTGATTTGTTACGAGATGAATTGGGCGAAAAGTTTCTTTTTGCGTAATTTGTTGAGCCCACTTTGGTTTTTGGTTTTTGTAAATTCTCCCTTTCTCTCTCTATCTGCCTCTCTCTTCGTTTGCGTTGATTCTTAATTGATTTAGTTTCGAAGTTAAAGGTGAGCTCACTCATTTTAAACTCCCCAACTGATTTACTTGGCAAATTATTCATTTAGTGAAAAAGTGGTTCGTCGCAAAAATGTGTGTTTGATAGAAAATTAGCGGCACAATCAAGCAAAGAACGTTCATCAACTTTTCCACTTGAAACTTTCCAATATTTGTGCTTCTTTAACTTTTAAAATATGAATGTGCATAAGTTTGTGCACAGTTTCGAAAGTTGTTCTTATGCATGAAAAATCAAACAAACTCACAATTAACGAAAATTGCAAAGCGCAAAAAAATACCATATTTATATGCACCGACGCCAAAGTGGTGAAGTGATGGCAAGCTCATTTTTCTACTTTGTGTGCAAATGCGATCACACGGCGTGTAAATATTTGACTATGAATTGCAGAAAATTCGCTTCACTAAATCTTATATGTGCGCTATCGTCGCTTTTCTTCTCGTCAACGGGAACTTTTCCATTCCTTTTTTTTGCCGTTCGTTTTTTTCGGCATTGCATAATAATTCGGGTTTGTTGCTTCCGGTTGAGTTGGATCGTTCAATACGAATTCATCATGTATTCAGTCGTCAGTGGGCTGTGAAATTGGTAAAAAGCTGTTTTCTGCCATTTTTTCTTCACTTATTTTTCCATTCGTCTTAAATAAACCGAATTTTCGTCGGTTTTTTTTTTGTCTTTATGATGACTGGGAAAATTTCGACGTTTTCCCCAATGGAATTGAGTTGTGTGCCACATTCGTACGTGCAATCATTTGCAAGAAAAATGGGAATTCAACTAAACAAACAACGAGAAAGATGACGATGACTATGATGCCAATGTCGATCGGAGAGAAAGTTTCCATTTCCTTTCTCTCTCGGCGGCGGTGTTTGCTTTTCTTAAGTGCACACACAAAACTCAAGTGCTCTTATTGGAACAATTTCATGGCGCATCTCAATTTAAACGCTTTGCCTCTTAAATGTATTATTTTTTTTACGAACGTTATATTGAGCTGACTATTCATTCATTTGACGAAGTAGCCAGCTCTCATTAGTCTCTGTATATAGATATCTAAAATACCAAAATAGAACTCTAAACCCAGAGACAAATATTGGAATTCAACATTGGTGTTGTCACCATTCGAAATGTAACTGAATTTTTTCGAATCATTTTAAACGAATAGTCAGCTCAATATAGTGCTTGATTTTTTTCATCGTCAAACTCAGAGAATAATTTTAAATCGTTGCAAACCAAAATCAGGCAGTTTAATGGTAAATTTAATGGAAACGAACACCAGAGGAAAAAAAACTGAAAATTAAAGTGACCAGAAAGTGAAAAAAATGGTTTGTTTGTGAAAAATGGCCTTTGTGTAAAACGAATCCAGACTCGATGGATTCAATGATTGTTTTGTGCAAAGTGCAGTGGTTCGAAATAAATGAGTGAAATGAAATATGTACGGTTGGGTATGAAAGCGATTCGATGTGTTTTCGAAATGTACACACATTCTAAGCATGTGATAATCATGCATATTGATGTGGTTTGAATGTAGTACATGTGTTTCTATTTTGCAGTAGCATTGCAACAAGATACCATCCATGAGTACATGCTTATTCAATTTTATTCGATGCACTCAAGTCACACATTCAGTGTGAGGATATGCATTGGGTTTTCTTCTCGTGCAACCATTTTCCGCAGATTATATTTCTTGGCATTTTCCTTTGGCTGCTGCAATCGAATATTAGGATGCTGTTACGCATTTTTTTTGCTTCTTCTTCTCTTTCCCTCTTTCGCTCTCTGTTTCGTTCGTTTATAAATCTGATATGGCAGTCATGCCATTCTTCTTGAGCAATTGAATAGTTGGAGTATGCTATTAAATAAAGTTAATATGCTGTTGCAATCAAACACTTATCTTTTAGTGTTACTACATGTCGTTTGCTTAAAAGCATTTTACACTTGTGTGCTTGAACTTGTACGAACACACACATGCACACGCTCATCGCGTGTCGACTTTTTGAGGTGGTTTAAAGAGTGTGTCGATGACATCTCTTGAAATCGCTTATGCGACACATTTTCGGCTACAATCTAGTTAATAATTTCACTTCAATAAAATTTTTGCTGCACTTAAACTTCTGCTTCTTTATTATTTCATTATATTGAATGGAACTAATCGATAAAGTGAAGGTTAATGGTTTCTTTTAAGCCATTTCATCGGAAGTATGAGAAAATGTTCATCATAAATTTTTGTTGAAAATACTGGTGCTTTTTTAAAGCTTCCAAACCAAATAAATTTATCGCATAAATACATAATATATCGAAGCAGATGACACAAAGCCCCCAAATAATTAAAATACGTATGTTAACATTGGTGATATTTATGCAATGGAAACTGGGATATAATGTGTTTGATTTAAATATTACATGATGTTTGTGATGGTATTTTGGCGATGGCTTAAATTGTCTACGGAATAAAAGTAGCAACAAGAAAATATCCTTACAACTCGGAAGGCGTCAGACATTTACATGGCAAATTTCACAGACGAAATGTATATTGTGTCGAATGAAATGCAAACGAAAACGCGATGACATACAATGAATGGCAAAAATTGTAAGCCATGCCCATAAATAATTCACGATCTCAATTTGTGTTTATATTTGTTCCAAGAAAGATTCGAGCAAGGGGGGAGCGGAAAAGTGTTTCCCTCAAAATGCATAACCGTAATGTTCACCTCTGAATCCACAATGAGCATATGAGACAAATGTTTACTTTCTTACTGCTTCCAAACAATATTTCCATCGTTTTATAAAATTTATAAAATATAAATTGTGCTTGATAAGTTGGTTGTGAGAACAAGCATTGCACGATGTTGAAAACTTTGTCTTGATGGCATTACAATACACACACAGAGAGATAGAGAATTTGTATATCTGTGCAATGATAAATCGAAACGCATCACACATATGCTTCACTCGTGTGTCGCTTCGCAAAGCGTTTGTGTCGTAAATTCTTCAGCTAACTTTTAAATCTGATTCATCTTCAACTAGAATTGCATTTGCATTTTATATATATTTTCCCAACTAAATCTGATATATTCCATTGAGACGTGCGAACAACGACGACGACGACACAACATATGCTGCTCAATGTCGATTTTGTTTATCACAAAGCCAGTGAATTTATTCACTTCAATTTTATTTACTCAACTTATAATAATAAATGGCTTGACGCCATCAAGTATGTATTGGTTTTGTTGTCGGTTATCTTTTCCATTTTTGATGTCAATCTTCATTTGATTTTGATGAGCATAGAACAGCAGCAGCTCGTCTCTCTTGTGTGATGAATTCTCATGTGATGCAAAAAGATATTTTCGTATTTTAGACAAACAATTTAAACAAATTTTGCGATGGTTTTTATTTGAATTGTATTTGATTGAGAGATTTTATTTTCTATGTATTCTTTTTGCAGCACCGCATGAGCTGACCTTTTTGATCATTAGTCAGAATTACTCGTTCAGCGCGAATTTGGCAACTGAACTCAAACAGAACATTTTGAATCAACACCGAATCGAAGCATTCTTAAATAATAATGAGGTAAGTTAGATTGATTTGAAAATAAAATTGGTTCATGATTTCAAAAATGGATATGTTTTATATAAAGAACAGCATTTCAAATTGATGAGATCATGAATGATGATGGTTTTTGAAATGGTTTTCATTTTTATCAATTTCAAAAACTCTTTATTCTCGTCGTTTATTCTTTGTTTTTGTGTGTGTGTGTGGTTTTTCTTTGTTTTGACAGATCGATGCGGTGCAACAACCAAAAATTATATTGTCACATGAAACATTCAGCAGTGCCGGATCGTGGGCAATAACACCAATTTTGGCATCATCGACTGAATATATCGATAAAATGATTTTTTCATCTCGCAACATAAATACATCACAAAAATCAAATGCGCAACCAGCCAATGTGACAACAGATGCACCATCAGCATCACCCAAGGCATCCCAAACAAAATGGCTCATTTTATGCGAAGATCAAAGTATCGTCGATTTGAAAGCTTTAATAAATAATCTCAAAAACGAAGACTACACAAAAGTGAGTTCAATTCTCATACATTTGCTTCAAATTTTTTTTTTGCTCTCTCCATCTATCTCTCGCTCTATCTTGTGCAAATGCTGAATCGCTAGAGATAGACGGTATATGTAATCCATCGAATCGTGAGCATGTCGAGGACCACTGCAGATTGCTCACTATAAAGCAGTTTGGTAATAAAATACAGGCAACTGTGCAAAACAAGAAAAAACGAACGAACTACAAGTGCACCGAAATAAGCAAAAAAAAGCGACTCATACCGATGGAATAATAATAAAGACAAAAACGGTAGTATGAAATATTGAACGAGATGCGAACAAAAAAAAAAAGAAAACATGCGAAATATATGCTCTCGTAAAAAAAAATTGTGCAACGTTGGCTTTGTGTGCCAGAGAGCTTTATTCAAGTTCAACAACAAAAAAATGGCTCCTCTATCTCTGTATTGCTTGAAATGAGAATCGAAAAAATATGCTCATAGAATACAAGATGCCAACATATTGCTCACATCTTGTGTATGTGTGTTCTGCATCACGTGCACTTGTTTTCCCTACATGAATGAACATAAATGTTATACATTCGCTTTCTCAATACGCACAAATAGGACACAAGCCATTGTTCATCTCATTTTTATGAGAAAATATTGCCCTTTATCACCGAGCGAGAAAAAAAAAGCATGATGTGCACACTAATTTCATTTTACAAATTGTACGAAGTCAAAAAAATGCCATGATTGCAACAAAGAATTCATACAGCAGATGCACTTTTCTTTTTAACAAACCATTTTACATATAACATGAAACGGGTTTGAATTGAAGCAATTTTATACTTACTTTTTGGTAGTGGGCAATTTTTTTTATTACAAATGTTTCGTTCTTAAATTAGAATATGTTGTCGGTCTGAATTTTGTGAATAGCAAATTGAATCAACATAAAATATAACACAAAATTGATAGGGAAAAAAACAATGTTGCGATGCTGAAACGAAGAACAGCATGAACTGCATTCACTCATTCGTGTTGATTTACAAGAAATATGCATAAAAATATTCTGAGGTCTTAATTTAATTGAACAGACTGGTATAACTTTAAACATTTTCACGTGTCACTTACTCAATTAAAATGTAATTAATTAATTGAAAAATCAATTACAAATCGAACGAAAATCGAGTTTGAGTTTATTTTAACATTTGCTACAACACCATTTAAATAACAAGATTATTGTTTTGCTATTTTGGTATTTGGTCCAAATATTAATTACAAATAACAATTTATCATTTTGTATTGAAATATGAATGGAAGCTATGAAGTTCGAATGAACATTGTTCGAATTTATAAATTGAATTTATACATTTTTCCTAACATATCAACTTGATTATTGAAAATTCATTTTTTTTTACATTGAACGAAGTTGTCTCCTTATGAAATTCTCATCCTAAGTACAGCGATGTTCATTATGACATTCTCGCATCACAGGAACATTTCGAAAAAAAATTGTAATTTTGCCGTCAAAAAAAATGAAAAAAGTTTTAAATTTCATCTCAATATTCAAAGAGTAAGAAATTATCGTTTTCTTTTTCGTCGCGTGAAAAAGCTTGTGTTCAGTACTTTTCGCTCTTTTGAAGATAAAGAAATATCGATAAGTTATTAAGTTAATTTAAAAAAAAAGACTCTCGTGGAATGAAATGGCGATTCATATTTTCAGGCATGGTGTTCATTCCCAAAAAAAACTCCCAACAAGAAACACTTTAAAATTGTCTGCTCCAATTCCATCTGGATAGAAGATGTTATCTGCGGATACTTTTAAAGTGGCAATTTTGAATGTACGAAATTATGCACTTTGCACAAACCGTGACGAAAAGTAGTTTCGTTTATAGTAAAAGGAAGAAAAAACCGACTGAAATAAAAACTGAACGAACAAAAAAAAATTCTATATTACAGGATACATTTCTGGGGTACCCGCTTTCCGATTCAACCGCTACGATAATTCATCACTTCGCATTTTTTGAAAATCCTTCTTGGTTTTTGTATCCATTATTCCGGGCCGGTGTTGCGATTTCCATTCCGCTGCTGAAAAAGTGAGTATTTTATCCGAAAGTAAGAGATGAAGAAAAAAAACGTTGTGGAAAAATTATTATTTGATTGTTCAACGTGGAAAAGTACATATGTGCAATGCCATGTGTGTATGCATGTTGTATCTATAATGGAACACCTTTAACAAATGGTGTTTTGTTGACTTCGCTGGCATGCGAAATGTTTCTTTTAAAATTAAATTTTATATTCACATTCGTTTCGACTTTAAATTAGGCAGTTAATGTGACTGTGTAAAAGGCGGTTTAATGTATTTCTCGTATTTTCGCTGCTCAGTTTTACCTCTCTTTAAAATGACTAACATCCAAATGTTATTCAATTCTGAAAATGTTTCCGAAATAGAATGATATTCAATTCAAATTTTCTTGGGATAACTACCAAACAAAAAATGAATTGAAATAAACGATAAAGTTGTTGATACTGATTAAAATTTACCGCCACCGAATCCAAAGTTTTAATTACAAACTTTGTAAAGTGTTCAAGCTGTGAGAGAGGAACAATGAAAATACTTGTAAATATTATGTAAATATCGCTTTCGTGACGTCGACAACGACGTCAACAACGATGGAAAGTAGATAATTGACATTCAGTTTATCCATGTTTACGATAAAACAAGCATCCATTCAATTACACAACGTTGCGTGATTGCAAAAACCACTTGTTATTCCGTTTGCTCTATGAAAATCATTCAAGCTTTTAAAATTTTTCCCTCTGAATTTATATATTACACAGACTTGCCGAGCGTGTGAGAAGCGAAAAGAATGTGTCCGACTTTTTCATTGATGCTTCGCATGAATTGTCACTATTTGCATGGAACAAGGGCAAAGGCCATCAACTGACCGAAGCACCGTATTTTTGTTTGGATAGAAAATCAAGTAAAACGAGCAAATCATCAACGTTAGTCAGACAAGTGGGTGAAGGAAACGGATGTGCAATTTACAGTCGGAATCATGATGACAGCATTACCCAATCCCATTTGTATTCGCTTGACACAGCAACCGGAACGACTAAGCCATCATTTGTAAGTGTGCCTCCGAAAAATTATTATTTTACATGACATCGTACCATAAACACATACACATGTATGGAGGAGCTAATAAAAGAGGTTGACACATCAAAAATTAAACGCCAACAAACAAAGTGATTGTTATGCTGCTTTGATAAGGTCGCAATTTAAATGGTATCATTTCGTTGTGCCATGTTATGTGTAGTGCATAAAATATATGTGCTGTGTTGACTGATGTCTTCACTTTTTGCTTTGCATCAAAATAAATGTTGGCTTCGCTTTGTATTCACGGCAATATGAACACATACACACACGTTCAGCATAGCAATAACATCATTTTGACTCGTTTTACAGTACAAAAATGGACTTATAAATTATCAAATGCCAACAAACGGAATCAACAATATTTTGAGCCACATACATTTATTCCGTTGTATTGGGCGCTGCTTTCCACCACTTTTTTTCCACTCTGTTTTTTTGTTGTTGTTGTTCCATTTGCCGGCGTAATTGAAATGGCACATTTGCCATACCATACTGTATACCAACACAAAGCACAGATGTATTGTACACTAACTAGCAGATAAATCTCGCAAAGTGGAAAAACGGAAAAGTTTCCTTTGATGCATGCTGCTTTTTTTCGCTCTTGCGTTGTTTTGTTTGTTTATTTCAAATGGTGTGTTTTTATTCCCTTTTCCGTTAGCAAACATTTTCTTGTTTATAGTATTTTGAAGTCTTTTCTCCATATGTTGCAACTCGACCATAAATTGCTGCGTCGGTCGTAAGCAATTGTGTGTTGAGACATTCGCGCAAATCATTTTCATTTTCTTTACCTTTGTACCACTGATTTTTCCACACAGATTTTTTTCTCGCACTAATACATTTTCTGTTTTGCCAGTATTTGTTTTATTCGTCGTGTGTGTATCTGTGTGTGTTTGTCGATTCCTTTAATAAACTTGGGCAAACATTAAACAAAAGCATTTCCACTCTCTGCCTTCCGGCTACTCACGCGATATATGCAATTGGTCAAGAGGTTTTTCATTAGAAACATAATATTACTGTACTGATATTGTCTTTCTTTGTTTCGTTACACATCTTTCTACGTGGATCTTGATAGATGCCTTAAGAAATATTGCTTTAGTTCCCATTCTAATGAAAATATAATACTGTTAAATTAAATGTATAAACAAAGATAAGATTTTGACTTCACGAGCAGTCATTGTGTTTGTTTTTTTCATTTGCTATTTCACGGAGATGTTATGTATTACATTAATTTCTATTTTTAGAGACCGATCGATGTGTCAATTAATCAAATATTCTTTGCGGTTAAAACATGGTCGAATAATCATGATGACCGTATACCGGTGATTCAACGAACGTGGGCCAAAGAAACAAAGCACATTCGATATTACAGCGATATTGCTGGTAAAATTTTATTGATTTTTTATGTTTTTCAATTTTGCGCGCTTTTTTGTTTTGCCCAAACACAGTTTTTCCAGTAAAATTATCGATCTCTGTTTCTCTCTCTTTCATTTGACTTTTTAATGATTGGATAGATTCAACGATACCAACAACAAGTACAAATATAGAGAACACAGATCATGGGCACTGTGCCAAAACATTACAGATTTTACAGATGGTGTGGCAGGAGATAATAGAAAATAAGCAACTGAACCAAATCAAATATGTAGTTTTAAGTGATGACGATACTTTATTTAGGTACGTTTTCGACGGAAAAAAATATATCATGTAATTCGTTATTTTTATTGCAAAATTTAACATGATTAAATTAATGAAAATATTTGGACAATCATAAATTAGCTCGCTAATTTCAATTTATTACTATTTCCCTCTCTCTCTCTGTCTGTCTCTCTCTCTCTCTGTCTCTCTCTCTCTCTCTCTCTTTGCACACATTCAGTGTGTCAACATTGCTGATATACCTGAAGCGATTCGATGCAAATGCGGATGTTTATCTTGGCGAGCGATATGGTTATCAGTTGCTTTCTTCGAACGGTTTTAATTACATAACTGGTGGCGGTGGAATCGTATTCAGTTTGAGCGTCATTGAGAAAATTGTACATATTTGCCGATGTCCCGATATTTCATCACCAGATGACATGATTATTGCACTATGCTTGCAACGCATTGGCATCGAACCAATTCACTCATCACGTTTTCATCAAGTACGGCCTGGTTAAATTGTTTCATCATGATGACGTATCAATCACAATATTACGTTTTTATTACTCTCTCTCTCTTTTGGTTTTTTTTTCCTTTACAGGCACGACCAATTGATTACCCCGAGGAGGTTTTATTGTACAATAGGCCAATTTCATTTCACAAATTTTGGCAAATAGATCCGTATTATGTATACGAAAATTGGTTGCGACAAACCAACGCGATCGCAGCTGAATCAAATAAATACAAGCTGAGAGTCGGCAATGAATATTGCAGTAAAAATCAAAACGAATTATGCCACAGAAACATTTATGATGGAAACAATTAAACTTTAAATCACTTTCACTAAATAGTTGGAATTGAGTTCAATTTACAAAAAAAAAAAAAAAAAAAACAAATCCTAATTTTCTTTATGTTCAAACTAAGGCTGTTAAATGAAATAAAAGATCAAAGAAACGAGATTGCTAACGAAATATTATTGTTTTATTCAACCATTTCTTTATTTTCATTGCATTATCACTTTTCTTTCAATTTATCTCGACATTCAATATAGATACAAAATAGTTTAAAACCGTCATATTATTTTCGGAACAAGAAACGAAGAAGAACAAAAATAAAACAAAATCGAAATTTCAACACCACTGCATGTGAACATCAAATGATAGAAGCTTTTGGTTTTGCGTTGAACATTTTTGAATCGAACTATTCAAAACAGATTTTGATCTGATTTTAATATAACAGATTTAATACATCAGTTAATTCGTCTTTTCAAATCATTTCTATCTGTTTGAGTGCATTTTCCGTTATTTGGATTGAGAATGAAAAAACTATTTAAACAGTTGAATTCGTTGAATCTTTTTCGAATAGATGGCGCTGTTATCGTAATTCCATTGACATTTCAATCTGTCGACTGGATAAAAGAGGCCTTAATAATCAATTGAGTAGCAATACAATGACAGAAGTTTGTTGAAGACATCAGCCTAATCGTTCATCAAATGTAATTTTTTTGTTTTCATTTTGTTTCGTTGTTGACTTTCAATTTGATTCGAATAATTTGAGGTGTGGCAATAAAATTCAATGCAAATGGAGTACAATTCAGCATCAAAAAATGCCAGCTCCAATTCATTGGACACCGACTCAAAATCATCATCGCCGAGCTCAAAACAGGGTGGTGACACAATGGTATGTAAATAATATTGAGCAGAAAAAAAGATATTTTTTCTCGCATACACACACACATGCATGTGTGCATATAATATGAATAATTACATTTTAAATTCGGTTTTGTAATTTGTTTGTGTATAGGTGCCAAATAGTAATTTATTTACATTATTATCGGGTGAAAAAACACAAGACATGAAAAATGATGTTACATACATTTGCCCGTACAATGGTCCAGTCCGCGGAACACTTACAATCACCAATTACCGGTTACACTTTCGATCGATTCCGATTAGCGAAAAACAAAAAGATCCAATGATCATAGTTGATGTTCCGTTGGGTGTTGTATCGCGCGTTGAAAAAGTTGGCGGTGTTAGTTCACGCGGTGAAAATTCCTATGGTATCGATATATTTTGCAAAGATATGCGAAATTTGCGATTTGCCCACAAACAAGAAAATCATTCACGACGTACCGTCTTCGAAAAATTACAAATGTACGCATTCCCATTGTCATACAATGAAAAATTATTTGCGTTCTCATACAAAGAAACATTCCCAGAAGATGGATGGACGGTTTACGAACCGATTGCTGAACTCAGACGAATGGTATATTGCTTTCTTTTTCTTCCGTCTAAATAATCACTTGCAATAATTGATAATGTCATTGTTTTTATTCTGTAGGGCGTTAATATGGCTAATAACGATACGTGGCGAATCACGCGAATCAACGACAATTATGAAATATGTGATAGCTACCCAGCCGTATGGGCAGTTCCAAAAACCGCATCAGACGAATTGTTGAAGCAAACGAGTATGTTTCGTTCAAAGAATCGATTGCCAGTGCTTAGCTGGATTCATCCAAATTCATTGGCCACCATCACACGATGCTCACAACCGTTGGTCGGTGTGAGTGGCAAACGCAGCTCGGAAGACGAACATTATCTGACATGCATTATGGAAGCAAATGCACAATCTGACAAATTATCCATCATGGATGCTCGACCCAGTTCGAATGCTATAGCGAATAAAGCCAAAGGAGGCGGGTATGTATTTACTCTAATTCGATGACCGAAAAAATGTCAGAGAAAAAAAAACTAATTTTTTTCAGTTACGAAGCCGAAGATGCATATCAAAATGTTGAAGTGATTTTCCTCGATATTCACAATATTCATGTGATGCGTGAGAGCCTACGAAAACTAAAGGAAATCTGTTTCCCGGCAAATGATGATCAAAAGTGGCTAACAGCTGTTGAAAGTACTCTATGGTTAAAGCACATCAAGTGTATTCTAGCTGGTGCCGTTCGTATTGTAGACAAGGTACTTCTAAAAAACACTTGCTTTCATTTATTTTGGCACCTGATGTTTATTTTGGCACCTGGTGTTTGTTTGTTATTTTCCAGATCGAAAATATGAGTACATCAGTTGTTATACATTGTTCGGATGGCTGGGATCGTACATCGCAACTTTCCGCATTGGCAATGTTGTTGCTTGATCCATACTATCGAACAATAAAAGGTTTTGAAGTGCTCATCGAAAAAGAGTGGTTGTCATTCGGTCATAAATTTCAACAAAGAATTGGTCATGGTGACAACCATCATTCGGACGCCGATCGATCTCCAGTCTTTTTACAATTTATCGACTGTGTTTGGCAAGTGGGCAAGCAATATCCACATGCCCTCGAGTTTAATGAACATTTTCTAATCACCATTTTGGATCATCTATACTCGTGCCGATTCGGCACATTTTTGTGCAATACTGAACGTGAACGGGTTACAGAGAGTAAGTTTTTAACTCGAATCACCTTTTTTTCTATTTATAAACATGAAATTCTTTGTTAATTTACAGAGCTCAAGGAAAATACGGTATCGTTGTGGTCATTTATCAATGCATCGAGTGACCAATATCGTAATCCCATTTACGGTGGTCGTCAGTGTCCCATTGAAATGGTATTGAAACCAATCGCAAGTATGCGTCACATTCGTCTATGGCGAGGTCTTTACTGCCGTTGGAATCCATGCATGCGTGCTCGGGATCCGGTATATCAACGAACCCGTGAACTACTCGCTCTACAAGAACAACTTCAAAAACAAACGGATGAATTTCGATTAGAAAAGAACCAAAAATCGGCGAATCAAGGTTGTCGATTGGCATCGCCACTTCATTAAAACGACCCGCTGTGCTTCACAAATAAATAAAACAATTTTTTTTTGTTTGCGTCAGCCGCTAAAAATTCACTTTACATACGAATAACATAGATTTTTATTGATATAATTACTTAGAGAGTATGTATTAAATCCAATACACATTTTATATGCAAACAATGAATAGCATTTAATTTGATTCTCATTGATAGAAGCTAAATATAAAATAGTTTTCTAACCAAATAAATCCGTAATTTTGAATTTAATATCTTAATGCTTGACAAATGAATGCAGAGGTCGCAAATGCGACGAATTCGTGTCTGTCACATTCGTGTGCGACAGAAATCGTTTTGACAGTGGAGAGGATTTGTTCGGTCGCTGGCAAAGTCATATTGAAAAGGAATTCTCGCACACAGGAATGCGATGGATAACATGAAAAGGATTGAAATATGCGGGAAACGAAAAGTCTACACACACATACACGCGCAAAATATACACATGTATATATAGAATTCGCGATGCGAATGTGACGGCGTATGTGCGCATATGTGTATGTGTCAGTGACCGCATACTGGAAGTGGATGAGATGATATAGAACAAACAATACAAAGTACACGAAAGCGCGTTCAATTCGAATCGGCGGCACATTAACACATATATGCGGTGAGAGCCGAGAATACAAACGCGTCGCTCTCTCGTTCGCCTCCGCAATTCCAACACAATATGCACACGGTACATTCGGTGTCGAAAAATCTACGCACACATCCATGGATAATACCAACAACGAACCGAAGCAGACATAATACATAAAAGTTTATTCTACTTCTTCTTCTTATTTTCCCTTGTAATGTTTTTTTTTCTTCTCTTCTTTATTCTCTTTGCTCTTCTCTCGCACAATTCGATTCACATTGAGCATTGCTCGCAATCAATACGCGATGAAAATTAATAACTAATGCAGAAAATACACTGATTTAGTCATAGAAATTAAGTGATTTAGCAATTAATTGTGCGGTTTTTGTTAAACAATTGTGCATTTTGTGTTTGTGCACCTCAAAAAATTCATATAATGAATTGGTGAATATTTTCCGACGCGCAAAATTTTAGCTGCAAAATTGATACAGTGCAAGCAGAGAAAAAAGTGAATAAAAAAAAGGTTAGTTGTTAGGTTCAATTGAATGAAACGTTTATTTGATTGATCGGATTGTTTTTCGTTTAAATCTTGGTGTCGTTGTTGTTGTGATATTTTGAAACTAAAAAAAAATTAACAAATTTACTAATTAGCGCTCTATGATATTTTATTCGACAGTGCATTGTATTTTCAATATTTGCCATTTATCGTGCTGCAATATGTGAGTGTCACACAATTACAGTATATATACATATTGTATACTTCGCTTGGTAGCACAGATTTCGATAGAATAGCAGCAGTAGCAACAACAACAACGACAACGACGACAATTGGCTAGAATAACATATTTTTTCATTCACACAGTTGTTTTGGACCATTTTTTTTCTTCTTCTCTGTACTGTGTGCATTGGGCGCCATCATTATCGCAACGCACTACAAATAAAATTTGCGCGAATAAATGAAATTCATAAACGCCATACTATTGCTTTGTTGTCGTGTTTATAAACAGAAAATGTGATCAAATCACAAGACATGCAAACAGACAGATGAGATCAAATATTCGTATTCTCATTAGAATCGTATTGGAATTATGTGAAAGCCGTACAAAATGTAATTGCACAGCGCCATTCGATCGCATAGCAAAACAAAACAACACACAAAAGCAAAATATTGAGAGAGTGTGAGCGACTGTGAATGAGAGAAAAGAAAAATAATAACGAACCGCACACATCTTACGTTTGGTTTGTAGTGAATTAAGACCGTGTGTCAAACGTCGCAATAAAATTAATGTACGAAAGCAACAAAAAATGTAGCAAAACATTTGTTAGCGTTGTACGACAAACGAACGAAACGTATAATTTCTCGCATCTTCTCAGGTAATGACATCTCTTTTTTTCAGCATAAATTGTGCGTAATTTTTTATGTTATCTCGTAAATTCGGCCGTCATTGAAAACGCAATGTGATGTCTGACAAAGTTTTTTTTTCAATTTATTCATTCATTCATTCTCCTAGTCGATTGGGTGAGAACATTTATATTTTGAACTTTGCGCGCCATCCGATAACAATCGAATTGTTTTTAAAAGAAATTGAATAAAGTGTACGAAGGATGGCTTCCATTCCAACGTTAGGAGGTGAGTTTTATTTATGAAGAATCAATATTCCATTGTTAATATTTTGATATATTAATAAAAAATTGGCCCGAACATTGTTGTGCCGACAAAAGCCATAGACGACGACAAAATCTGGACTTCATATCACATGAAAAATAATATTTCTTTGTGTTCGGTCATTCAATAAAATAGTCCACAAAAGAAAGTTTCATATACGTTTATTGATTTACACGGCAATGGTTTTCGATGCCATACGAAAAAAAAAAAAACAATAATAAATGAATTCATTGACCTTTAACATTTTTGGCTTATTTTTAGGTCATCATTTGGTGAATCAACAACATAGCAATATGCAAAATAGTAGCGGAACATCACATCCAAACTCACAACAGCTACAGGAACGTCATTCGCAAATCAATCCACAATCATCGGAAGCGGTCAACAATGGCAATCCCAAGAAACGAATGCTGTCCCAACAACAACAACAGCAGCAGCAGCAACAACATCAGCAGCAGCAACACCAACATCAAATGGTAGTCCATTCAATTATTTTGCCATTTATCTCAACATAAATGGTTCATTTTTATAATTTTTTATATCTAAAATCAAAATAGCAATCGCAACAAATGCCCCCACATCATCAAGAGCATGCACAAATTACCCCACATGCAGCTCAATCAGGCCTACCGATTCCCATTCACCATCCGATTAGCGTAAGACTAGATGCCCCTCCTCTCCTCACTTTAAAGCATATATTGATTATGTTTTGGTTTTGTTTACAGCAATTGTTTGCCATCGATCCGCATGGTCAACAAACAATTAAAACGGAAAATGATAAATTTTATCATTTTCCAACACATTCGATGGGTAAACCGCAAATTTTATCGGACACAAAACTTCCGCCAGCACAAATGTTTGATGTTCGAAACGCCGATGGACAAATTGTGCATGTCAATATCGAAGATATTAATCAATTTTTAACGTATCACGAAGTATTTGGAAAAATTGGTAATACCGATCATGCATTTTCGGCCACATCCAATTCGCTCACAATTCCACCAATTGCTTCCGCACCAGTATCAAATGCACAAACAACACCAATTCCACCGACGTCGATTCAAACAAATTCACAGTCACAATCGACACCGTTGGTGATTCCGAAAATCGAAAATATCAACACGTCTGGAGCGAATTCGAATTCGATATCAGTTAGTACCACATCAAATGTGACGAACAATTCATCGACAGCAACCTGTGTAACAGCCGGCACAAGTGATGATTCGACCGCGATGCCATCACCCGGTATGCACACATGCGATATTTGTGGAAAAGTATTCGCATTCAAATATCAATTTATTGGTATGTATTTTAACGGGGGCGATATTGTGTGTGTGTGTGTGATCTGAAAAAAATTAAAATATATATTTCAATGGATTTTCTTCAGTTCATCGCCGTTATCATAATGAACGGAAGCCATTTATTTGCCAAGTTTGCGGTCAAGCATTCACAACGTCTGTTGACCTAACATCGCATGGTAAAATTCACGAAGGAGTTAAAATGTTCATATGCAATGTATGTTTTAACGTTTTTGCAAACGATGCTAGTCTTGAGAGGCATATGAAACGACACTCCACTGATAAACCATTTGGTATGTATGCCTTTCTTGTTTCTAGACACTAGAGTTGCTAACAATAATCGGTTTTCTTTGCAGGATGTACGGTTTGTCAGAAAACTTTTGGAAGAAAAGAACATTTGGGTGGGTATAAATGTCCTTATGAAATAAGTCGGTTTTCAAAATTTGTCATTTATAATTACTTTATTTTAGATAACCATTTTCGTTCGCATTCCGGTGAAACACCTTTTCGGTGGGTATTTTTAGCTTTTGCTTAAGTATAAATAGTGAGCATGAGACATGCTATTTTATTTCATAGGTGTGTTTTGATTGCATATGAACTCATTTCCAATTGCTATTTTATTTTCAGGTGTCAATACTGTGCCAAGTGTTTTACGCGCCGCGAGCATATGCAGAATCATGTTCGAAAGTAAGTGGGTCTTAGAGGGGCCAAAAGTGCTCGTTTCTTGTTTCATTTCGAAGATGGAACTTACATTTGTACTTTTTATGTTGACACAGGCATACTGGAGACACTCCTTTCAAATGCGACATCTGCAAGAAGTCTTTTACGCGTAAGGAGCACTACCTGAATCACTACTTGTACGAGCCGCAACTTAATCCTTAAAAGAAAAGTTTGAATATGATTAATATGTTTGTTTTTTTGCAGGTGGCATACTGGTGAGACACCTCATACATGCAACGTATGTGGCAAAAAGTACACTCGCAAAGGTACGCAAAAACAGGCTCTATTTTGAAAATCAATCATGATTTGTTTGAACCATTGTGAGAGAAACTAATTACAATATTCATTTCTAGAGCACCTAGCAAACCATCAACGTTCACATTCAGGAGAGAATCCATTCCGGTGTGAGATTTGCGGCAAATGTTTCAGTCGAAAGGGTAAGCTCTAAAAACCACAACACCCTGATTCGCAAAAATACTTATTAAACATTTTCTTTTCTAGAGCATTTTACAAATCACATACTTTGGTAAGAAGCCCAAATGACAAAATGTACTTGGTTGGCCCATTCATTCTGTTTTGGCATTAGAAAAGAATTACGAAGCATATAACTAAATGTTTATCTATTTAATAATAGGCACACTGGTGAGACACCTCATCGTTGCGATTTCTGTTCCAAGACGTTCACACGCAAAGAACATCTACTTAACCATGTATGTTCTTTTTTAATTTTTTTTCTTACGTATGAATGCATATGAAATGAAATAAACTATTTTTATGCCAATCGGTAGGTTCGTCAACATACAAACGAGTCTCCACATCGATGTAAGTGACAAAAATAGTGTCGACATCAAAAATAAATGTAACCGGCTAAAAATAATTTGATTCACCTGTTCTAAAAGCGATGAATTGAATTGTTTTACGCACTCAACTACTTGCATTAAATAATAATATGAACTATTTTTATGACATCCGTAGGTACTTACTGCATGAAATCATTCACAAGACGTGAACATTTAATCAATCATACACGCCAGCACACAGGTATGTTTTTGTTATTTTCTAACATTTTTACCGCAATCATTTTCATTTTTATGTTAATTTATAGGGGAGACACCATTTAAATGCGAATTTTGTCCGAAGGCATTTGCGCGCAAAGATCATCTTCAAAATCATCGTAATCAAGTAATTATTCATGACTTTTTGAGCAAAGACATGTTTATGCTTTTGACTGGGTGTTTATTTATCATTCATAAATTTTCTTTTAATTCACAATTCAGCATACAGGACAGTCGCTTCATAAGTGTGTGTATTGCAGCAAGAGTTTCTCACGCAAAGAGCACCTTAAAAATCATCAAGTACATTTTAACTATTGAATTATATTCAAATTGATTACTATACCGTTTATTTTGCATTTAATTTTAGGTTAAACACACCGGTATATCTCCATATCAGGTATAGACAGATAGAACCAACATTTTGAACTCAAACCTTATTGCTTCATTTATTTTTTGTATATTTCAGTGTAAATTCTGTAACAAAATATTTTCGAGACGTGAACATTTGAGTGAGTGTGATTCATTTTCAATTTTTCCATTCAATATTAACAATACAATGTTATTAATTTCAATCATTTTTCAGATAATCATGAAATGATACATACTGGTAAGCAAATTGACATAAATTTATCATATTTTAAATGAAAATGTCCATTTTTTACTCATACACTTCAACCTTCTTTTTTTTCTGGAAAAATAGGTCTTAGTCCTCATAAATGTGTGTACTGTGACAAGGTAAGAAATATGATTAAAAAAATTGTGTTTGACTGAGTGTTGAAATACATACTTCCAAAATATTTGTTTCTATGCCCTTTGTGTATCAAATTGACTAATGTCAAAAATCGTACCCAAACACCAAAGGGCATGGAGACAGTATGTTGAAATTCAATTGACCAAGTATTTTGAAATTATTTATTTGAACACTCGAAAAACGTCATTTTGCAGAAAAATAATGCATTTTATTCAAATTAATGAACGGTACCAGTGCTAATTCAATTGATTTATCTTTGTTTTTCGTCAGGCATTCACGCGAAAAGAGCATCTGAATAATCACCTAAAAGTTCGTTTTGGTCTTCTAAAGATTAGATTGCGTTGTTTTTGACCCCATAATACTTTTTTCCTATTTTTTCTTAGCATCATTCTCCTGATAATCCACTGATTTGTACGGTATGCAATAAGTCATTCTCGCGGAAAGAATCTTTAGTATCACATATGAGGTTTGTGTAAGGGTTCCAACCCATATCCGCCGTCTACCAAGTAAACTAAACATTTGATATTTACATTTCAGTCGTTGCCATACCGGAGAGAGGCCCTATGCGTGTGAAACGTGTGGAAAATCCTTCCCACTCAAAGGAAATTTGCTCTTCCATCAACGTAGCCATAATAAGGGAGTTAAAGCTGAACGACCATTCCGTTGTGATCTCTGCCCAAAGGATTTTATATCAAAAGGGCATTTGGTGTCACATAGACGATCACAGTAATTACATTCATTTGAATAGATTTGAATTGAATGAGTTTTAAAATAAAATTTTCTATTTTTAGTACTGGAGAAAAGCCATTCGGATGCAGTCAATGTGGCAAGGCATTCATTGGAAAGGGGAATCTTTTGCGTCACGTCAAGAAAACGCATCCAAATATCACAGATGTTCAAAGCATCAGTGAGTAAACTCGATAAATTCATCTGATTGTCAACTTTTCAATATTTCGATTAACATTTTCAGTGATGCAAGCAAAAGCAAAAGCAAAAATAGCGACCAGCTCGGCGGCAGTGAGTAATCAAACAACGTCGACAACATCAATTCCGCCGTCATCGGTGCCAGCTGTGGTCACATCGGCAATCACAACCCAGCCGATGCACGGCAATCAGGTGACCATTCATTCGGGTCCGATTCAAACAGCTGCCCCATCGAATCCACAACAACAATCTCAGCCACCACCCCATAATATTGTTGCACCGCATATTCCAATTCTGATGGATCCATTGGTTCAAAGCAACTACTTAATTAGCATCTAAATGGAACAAACATATTATATAGTAAGACATTGCTTACTCATTATCCAAACGCATTATTTACTGTTTTTTTTCTTTCTTTGAATGTAAGTTAAAGCTGGTATTAACTGAACATGATTATCGAGTTATCTGTAGAAAAGTAAATACCATTATTGTTTGCAAGAGCAACGATAGAAGTGATAGATATATTAACTGTGCTAACTTTGGTCAAACCTTTTTTTATATATATATATTGTACCCACTTTCATTGATTTTTTTTTAAATACAAAAATATAATCTCTATGTGATTATAGTAAAAGTCTCCTCTCACCTATTCATCGTTTTTTTATAAGAAAATTGACTCGAATTTGCATTCCAATAATCTTCAGAGAGAATAGTGAATACACCATTTAATCCGTGGTGCCAGTTGCTTGCAAATTAATACGAGTCAATCAATAATACGAGCAATTTTCACAAAAAAACCCCAACAATTGTCTTTGCCATTTGAAAGTTTGGCCGTTGAAAAAAATTCTCAACTGTCTAAATAAACAAAAAAAGTCAACGATTCAAGTGTACCTTGATATCGAAGCAAAAAATAAATAAATACTAATAGTCACTGTGAATATTTTAAGTTTTTCCTATAAACTTTTTCCGAAAGTGAAATTCCTATTTTCGAACGAATTTAAGTGAAATAAAAACTGAACGTTTTGTTATGAATAGAACAAATGGAAACATTTTAATTATACAAGAATGTGTGAAATTTTAACTATATTTTTTTTATAAGTTATAAGGTATTTTTGTAGTGATTTTTTTTTTTTGAATATGATTTTTTTTATTACCTAATTGTATTGTTATAGAAAAGACTAATTATTACTTTTTTTCCATTTACATTTCTCTATTGGAAAAGTCATTTATTTTATCTTGAAAAAATACAACCGAAACTATGAAATTTATTCATAAACTTATTATCAAAGTAAAATATAAAAACAATATATATAATTCTATATATGCACTATAGAATGATCTTTCTACATCGTAGATAAGCAGAAGAGGATTCATGGTAGCAATTCAGTTGTGTCATATTTTGAGAATGAAATGTGTTAAGAGATAACAACATTATGGTTACGAAGTAGTAAATAATATTATTTAGATAGTTGAATGCAGACTTCCTTGAAAATTGTAGTGATTATCATCCATCTAAACCCATATATATGTAATATGTGAAGATTTTTCACAATTTTGGACAGTGCATTTCGAAGTTCTATTCAAAATTCAATATGTGAGAACAAATGGTAATAATTGGAAGCATATCTGTTTTCATCGAAAGGAATTGATCGTGAAATGTAAACTTTGGAGTTAATTTAGCATTAATTGATTGTCTGAGAATGAATGTGAGACTTCTGCCGAGATATCATTAAAGTGTAACACCTCCATAGAAAAAATCTCAATTGGTGCCACATTTCAATAAGACTCCAGAAGAAATCCCACATTCTTCATTCATTTTCGAATTCAAAATGTAATCCGAAGTTTAAAATTTCTTTAGAAAAAAACCTTTGAACAATTTCTGAAAAAAAAAAAGTTTAGAAATGCTTGTATCATTTGATCTCACAGACAGAATTTGGATAGAAGTTCGAAATACTGAGTGTCCAACACCTGAGAAAATCTACTGATAAGAGTCTTAATCTACTGATAAGACGGCTTCGTAGAAGTATCACACTAAAAAGGATATTCTTTGTTATATTGTAAAAACTAAAAAAACTAGACTGTATGTAGCGCAGCTATTGATTCTATTATAAAGATTAAATATTATTATCAATGATGAAAAGAGAATACGAAACAAATGAGAAATTGTGAAGTGATTTGCAACAAAGTTGTATTAAGATAAATATGAAAGTCAATAAAAGCGCCTAGATCAAACACGATCACGAAGATTCGATATTTTCAATATATGATGAAAACAAAACAAAAAATTAACAAAAATTGACGAATGCGTCAAATTAATATGCAAACGAATAATCATTATAGTGCTAATGATTGAAAATCAATTATGTCTAAATTTGTGTTGAATATTTTGTATATTGGTGCTGAACATCAAAAAAATGAAACAAACACATTTAATCCTAATGTTCCATTGATTATTATCTCATATGATGACTATATTATATATTAAATTCTGTAATCTATGTTTGGATAAAATCTAAATATTCATAATTCAAAAACGCCTGCAGTTTTCATTTGTGTTCATTTATTTCCATTGAAAATTCTGATGACAGTGGTGAAAATTAATAATAGATATTTGAAATCGAATTATGTGCAGATGAGTCTAAAAATCAGTTCGGCAAATCTGAAGGTGCGTTTTCCTAGGCGACGATTGCGATCGTGTACGATTTTTTCTTAAAATCGTTGTCTTAAAAACACAAAACAGTCAATCGCTCACGATTTTATATAGAAATTAACATTGATTACAATCCTTCCCGATCTAGATCAACGATTGAAATCGTCAACGATTACAATCGTTGTTTAGGAAAATGCACCTTAACATCAATAATCTCCAAATAATTCTTTAACGTCGTGTTGGATCCAAATTCGATTTGTGCGAACTTGATTCGTAGCTGACGTTTCTGGACGCATTTGAATAATGTGAGCCATGTGTTTGCTGCATTGATCCATATTGATTGAAAGATGACGAATAATATGAGGATGATGAAGTAATGGTTGATAAATTATGTGCCGTATGTGCCGATGTTATGGATTGGCTTAAATTCAATGGGCTCGAAACAGTTGGTTGTCCAAATGGTGGTTGTGGCATTGAATCATTTGAAATGGATCCCTTTCTTTGTGATGTTGATTTAGCACTGTCACCTTTACCGTCCATTGTAATATGCCTATGATTAAAATGCGCCTGTAAATCTCGTTGTGACAAATATGTTCGACGACATCCGGTCTTTCCATAGCGACTACCGCCATAATTACACATGAAAACCGTTCCCAAACCGGATTGTTCGACGCGTAACACCTTTTCTTTGCATCGTGGACACGATTTAAATGGTTCAGATCGTGCACATAACAAACAAAATACATGTTTGCATGCTATCATTCGGCCATAGATTAAAATCGGTTTATCACATAGATCACAGCAATGAATCATTGGATTCAATACTTTTTCACCAATCAATGACACTTTATGGTCCCATTTTAAGCGAAGCATTGGTTCGGGTGGACCACGGCTTATTGTTGTAAATATTGGTGCTTCCAATTGTGAAATATCCGCTTCCATGTCAACTAAAATAAACAAAAATTAAATTAGAGGCACGATACATTGAATAGTGGTCCGTGTATGACTTACTTTTTGGTGGGAGAATTTCATTCTCTTTTTCCTCGACGGCTGTTGTATCAGGCGGTGGTGCGGCAATTGATTTTTCTGCTTCTTGTGGTTTCTCTTCGATTGATGCATCAGTTTCTTCAATTTCTGGTTGTTCTTGCGATGCTTCTTCATCGGATTCAATTATCTTTGCTTTACGCCCTCTACCACGACCTCTTCTGGCTCTGGTCGATGTCGCTCTTCCTCTTGTCGATCGACCCCTTCCACGGCCACGCTTTGTCGTTCCACTGTCTTCTGTATCCATAGCACAACGCGTTTTTCTCACTTCGGGCCGAATTTTTGCAAATTTTCACCAATAAAATTATATACAAATTTATGTGTACACTACACCTGTCCTTAAACTGAATGGACAGGATAGTCGAATGTTTTTGTGAAATCAAATAAAACCGATATATAAATATAACTATTCGTGCAATTGTTTATTGCATTTATGAATTGAGTGTCGCAACAAGCCCTATGAATGATGGTAATATGTACAACAAAAATAAACCAAAGCCGAATATTTTTGACAGGCGACTGTCATGACAGTTGAGCGATTGGTGTTGCCAGTGCTGTGCGGTTTATTGTAATGTTATTTTGTTTTCAACGCGATTTTCTTCTCATCCACGTATTGCCAACAAACTTACATATATTATATGATAATGAACTTGAGACGCGTCTCACAACTCAGACGAAAGCAATCGATTTGGTGTTACTAATTTTCACCAAATTATGACAAATATGATGCTACAAATTACACCTATCCATTTGTTGATAATATTTACACTGCACTATGTGACTGCCGTATGTGTCTTCCAATAGAAACGGTTATCAGTAATTCGTCTCGACAAATGGATTTATAATACCAAAATCTATTCGCATGTTTCCGATAAACATGTTATTTAAAAATATCTTTAATCACTTTTGCCGAACTGTTGTATTCTGCTACAGACATTTTTCCAGAGAGAATAACATAAACATAAGAAAAATACGGAAAAACTTATTTTTGTTGAAAATATTTCAGATTTTAATAATATAAATTAGAAAATAGCTTGTCTTTTATAGTACATGTGTTTTTTTCTTCAGATTGTATCATTCTTAATTCTCTTAGCCTATGTGAAAGAAAATTGCAGAAATCTCTAATGTCTATTGAACATTGCGAATAAAAATCAAACGAAACATTAAACGAAAATCCTCATTAAGATCGGACAGACAGCGAGACAGACGAAATACGCCAATAGAAATTCCAAACGATATGCTGAACTGAGCGCTTAATTGCTGTAGACGAAATTGTAATTCAAAAGAACGACTGTAATTGATTTAGTATTTTCGGTTTGTAATAAACATTTATTCGCCTAAATGGTTGGGTTTTTTTATCTCTTGAACACTTCTTACAGTTGTACACATTATACACTTTAATTAAAAAAATGATTTACTCTTTAAATTATAATAAGTTGATGGTACATTCTAATGAGTTGAATTCGACAGAGATGTCAAATGTGTTTTTGTGTATGTATTTGATGAATCTGAATTGTGATACTCGTTTAGCATTGTGTTAGACTTTCAATTAAAACATTTCATTTAAATTACAATAATTCGCTCTCAATTTCAACTTAAAAAAACTCCCTTTCAAAAATCCGTTGATTTTGTTTTCAAATCAATGCTCTCAACAAATGCTTACTTCTATGCTAAAGTTGACAATCATTTTTGTTTTAGAATAGAAGTGTACTCATGCCTCCCATTTCGGATTGTTCTTTGACAAAGATTTCAAAGTATTGGTAAATAATGGTGACAGCTAATAGAATACCGGTTCCCGAACCGATGGCGCCCAAGAAATCGGCCAACACAGAAAGAGCTCCAATACACAAACCACCAAAAGCAGCAGCTGTTGGGATGTATCGATTCAATTCGTGAATCATTGAGTTTTCACGATGACCACGCATAACCATGTGTTGTTCTTTCAATTGTTTGGCAACCTAAATCGCATGAAAATGAATTAAACAAACATGAATTAGAATCAAAAATTTAAAAAAAATCGGGTAAATAAATGAAAAAGTGCTTACGTCTTTAGCTGAGCTGCCTGAAACATCGATCCATGTTTTTGAGAAGAAGGCGCATGAGCCCAACATGAAGACGATGTATAACATGGCATGAATTGGATCTTGTAAAATGTGTCCAACACTTTCTGGTGGTGATAGATAGTAGCATAGACCACCAATTGGGTATGAACGAGCTGGGCCGCCACCGCCAACATCAGCCCAGACACCGAGCAAATTGATCAAAAAGTTGCCATGGAATTTAACGGCCAACATTTGTGAGATAACGTATAAATTCGAGACGAGCGCCGATTGTAAAATGATTGGGATGTTTGATGTGTAGAACAATTTAATTGGATAGCTGCTATATTGGCCACGATAACGTGCTGATTTGATTGGAACATCGACACGGAATCCTTGGAAGTATATGACAACAGCAAAAACGAGAACGGTAGCCAACAAGTTCATTAAATTTGGTAAATTTTGACGATAGAAAGCTTCACGTAAACCACGAACTTTGTCTTGACGTGTGGCCAACAAATGGAACAATGCAATGACAGCCCCTTCGAATTCGGTACCACGGCCAGTATTAACGGTAGCCGGTGAGAATGCCTTCCACACAATTGTTTCACAAATATTTGTTGCGATGAATAATGAAATACCCGATCCCAAACCGTAACCTTTTTGCAAAAGTTCGTCCAACAGCAATACAATCAAACCAGCAACAAACAATTGGATGATAATCAATAGACAAACACCAGCGCCGATTTCCGATGGATCACCATACATGCCAGTCATTACATAAACAATGGCTTGACCAACGGTAATTACGATACCAAATAATTTTTGTGCACCATTGAAGAGAGCACGATCTTTTGGTGTGTCACCAACTTCGATTATTTTGGCACCGGCCAACAATTGCATAATCAATCCGGATGTGACAATCGGTGAAATACCCAGTTCCATCAATGTACCACGATTTGAGGCCAAAATCACACGAATCCAATAGAATGGATCAGCCGAATCGGAACTCATAATTCCGAACAATGGAATTTGACAGCATACCAAGAAGATAAACAGCGTTATGGCAGTCCATAGCACCTTTTCTCGGAATTGAATCTAAAATTATTGAAAAAATCACATTGTTTTGTTAATTTTCATTCATGAACTTTTGACAGTGGTTTTTTAAATTGTTGTCAATGCGAATAACTTTCAAAATCAAAATAATGTCAATTGTATCCACGTCGCAAATACCTTTCACTTTACATTCACTTAGATAGTGCATAATAGTAAGGAAATTTTCCAAAAATATATATAAATTAATACGTACCTTTCGCTCTGGTTTTGCGATTTCGGGCAGAATACTGCAGAATGGCTTAATTACTTCCAAAAATTTAACTGCAATTCAAATGATTTTTCTCATTAGTTAAACATTTTTTTGTTTGGAATTTAAAAAAAATGAAAAAAAAATCGTCTCGTAATAAAAGTTCAAATGTGATGGAAATGTTAAAAAACTCGAAATCATTCGTTAACATTCGATGAGTTGAAATAGTTATCTATACAGGTGATAGATTCAAAGTTGGGCGACCGTGGTTTTGTATACGTAAGCAGTGTTAGTCTTACAAATTGGCCTATTTACACATACACTTACTATCAATGAAAGAATACGGTTCAAGAGAAAATCCATAGCTTTAAGAAAAACAAATTTTTTTCTTTCTCTTTTCGCGACATAAAACACAAACCAATTTTTAACACTTTGAACATTATCCACAATAAATTTTTCTCTAACAAACCAAATGATTTTCATAGTTTCTCTTTTTTTTGCTTAAAACACCCAATCAGCTACGATACTTACTTCCCATTTTGTAGAATTTTTCAATACGATTGCTTAATTTTTACAAATAACTGCGAACAAACTAGCGAAACGAAATCGCTATAAATATAAATGAAATTATTTTTCTATGTTTCTTTTGCGTATCTTGGTCTTCGTTTTTTTGGCCAAAAAAATGAAAAAAAAAGTTTAGATTCAACCCGAACACTCTTACTTTACATTCGCGTTGCTTGCTGGTTCGATGTCAAAGAGAATCTGTTCGATTGCATCGAAAGCATTGAGCCGTACACACACGTATTCAACGAAACGTACCGGTTTCTGTCAGTGTGGGCAATACTACTCGACACGTATAACATATTTTGGTCACGTGACCGATTTGTTGGAGCAATTTGGCATTTCGTTGAACAACTCCGAAATTGTCATTTGAACATTTGTCAGTTACCGCATCGAACCAAACTATATCGGTTCACACATTGCGGTTATTCATTTCTACCGATTCAATTCATTTGGGCAAAGCAATATCATGGTTTTTTTTTTTTTTTTTTTGAAAATTAGATGATTTAATTTGATGGAAAATATGCAGCATGAAAAAAATGAGATTTGTTTGAGTTTTTTTTTTGCAATTGAAAAAAAAAAGATTTTTTTCAGTAGAAATCTGTTGATGTTGTGCAAACCGTATTCGGAAAATGAGTTTAGTTATAATGCTGACAGATGCCGCCATTTATGAGGTACACTCGAGACGAAAGCCGCTCACAATACACAATTCATACTCAGTTAAATGTTGTTTAGCACTGTTATTGGACATTTTTTAGATTAGTTTTGTTTTGTCAATTGAAGTAAATTGTTATTTTTCACATTTTCGTCATTTTTTCGTCTAAGTTACTTCACTGACCAAATCTGAATTAATCATTTTCTGTTAATCTGAATTAATTCATGTGCGTATTTTCTAATTGGAAATCTGTTTGCATATCTTCATGTCTAAGCAAGCTCAACCGACTTCTTCCGGACCAAATGACGAGAAAGATGGAATTGTTGCTTGCCATTTAAAAAAAAATATATATTTAAAATCTGCGCCGTGATAGAACTTCGTACAACAGATGTCTCTCCGACGTTATCAAGTGTATATCTTAATATGTCATTTGTGTCAGTGAATACAATTTCAAGACAGCTTTGAATTGTCAACTATCAGCCAGTAATCGACCTAATTACTCACATATTTCAATCTGAACATTCCGTTGATTCTCGATTTTTTGGCTAAAAGTAAACCATCTAAATACACTCCAAGTAATAAATTATAAGCATTTTAACCTCGAACTTAAAATTCATTACATTTAAAAGGTTAGTTAAGATAAAATCCATGCACAAATTTGAATGTGTAACTTTTTGATAAATGGCAGCACAACGGTTCTATTTCATTTTCAAGATATTTTATTATTTGATTCAAGTTAACAGAAAATAATGTCAACTAAACCAGAGACGGTTTTATTGATAAGTGGAAAGAGAAAAAGTGGCAAAGATTATTTGTCAGCTCGATTACTATCAAGGTACTTTTTATTCAGAGAAATTGAACAGAGCAAATTGATAGGTAACCAGTTTTACACTGATTACCATTCAGTTTGTTCTGTTTAATTTCTTTTATTGTCTGTAATGACCATTTAATCGATTTAAAGCAAGCAATACTTACATTTAACACTAAACTTATTGAACTGTTCGATAGATTGGGCGAAGAGAAAGCGGAAATAGTTCGTATATCCGAACCAATAAAATCGCATTGGGCCCAAGAAAAAGGACTAAATTTGAATGAGCTGCTCAGTGATGGTCCGTATAAAGAAAAATACCGCAAAGAAATGATAGTTTGGAGCGATAGTGTTCGTCAACGTGATGCTGGGTTCTTTTGTCGAGTGTCCATCCAAAAAAGTAGGTGAAACTTTCTATTTTTTTTCGAAATCATGAAACATTAACATGGCATTCACCTTCAGGTTCAAAGCCGATTGTAATAGTGAGTGATATTCGGCGTAAGACTGACATTGAATTCTTCCGTGATAATAATTACAACATCAAAACCGTTCGAATTAATGCCAGCAATGCGTTACGGGAGTCCAGGGGTTGGGTATTTCGAAGTGGTATCGATGATGTTCAATCAGAATGCGATTTGGATGACGTCACACAATGGGACCTAGAAATTGAAAACGATGACACACAAGACGTTGAAGTCATTCTTGACAAAATATTGAATTTATTACCATAAATTAGCGATGCTTACTCTCTGGAGCACTTCCGAATCAGGTGGCGGTATCATAAAGACTTACCATTAAAAGCAAATCAATTATCACAGCGTTCAAATCAAAACATTGGGAGTTAGTTTTAAATTGTTTTTTTATTATCAATATATTATAGTTGCATATGTTTTTTTGACTTTTATAAAGAATTTTATTTTACAAATTATTTTGTGGTATTTTGCAGAGACAAAATGTTTGACATTTATACTTCACTCACTCGTGGGGAGACTTCTTCCAATTGTCACACATTTGGTCTCGTGCATTTTGTTTTAAATTAAAATTGTATTCATTTGAAAATTCAATTATTAAATTACATAATTTATTGAATGAACTGTTTTTAAAGGCTTTGTATGCTATTGTTTTTAAAAAAAAATTATACTTTCTTTCACTTGCATTGCATTTGACTTGATTCCGGCGAATCGCTACTAATTCAGTTCATGGGGGGAAAAAAAAGTTTGATAGAATTTTATCAGTCTATTTAATTCAGAACAATTTCTATTGGATTATATGAATTTTTTCTTTCGAAGAGATTCAACTGAAATCAAATAACAAAAGATCACATTGTTCCGTTAATTTAAAAAAAATTCAGTCGATCTATCGTTCCATAATTGTAATTTGCTTTTTAGTCGGTTGGAGTTGATTTTGTTGTTCGTAGCGAATTCAACACTTTTCCTCTTATTCGATTATCCAAAATATCGGTATACACTTAGTCATCTATAAGACTGATGACAACAATGCTTTCTTTATCAGTTTCTATGCTAATCACTAACTTATCGAAATAATTTTGAAGTTTTATGTTGCGAGTGTGTTGATTTAAATAAATAATAATAATTTGTTAACAAATGAAGATGAATGACCAAATGTCTTTTTGTTGTTTGAAATCATTACTTTCCTATTGAGTTTAATTCTATTCTGTACATTTTTTTTTAAATCAAACCACCTTTAAAGAAACATTTGTTGCAATGATTGTGGAAAATTTAAAGTTTTACACATAAAAAAACATGCATTTGAATATGTTATTCTAGATTCTATTTACAACAAATAAAAAAATAGCTTTCTCCCCTGTACGTAGACAGAGTGAATGAAATGAATGAATTTGAAACTAACTGTCGAAATGATAACGGGGAAAATTGTTGTTTTTTTGTTGATAATTTGGCTGTCTCATATGAAAATTGATCAACTTCTGAGTTGATCAGAATGACAGCGCATTAATTCAGTTCGGTCAGGGATATAGGAACCTCATCACAACGTTAGATCGATTGAAATCAGATTGTTTGATGATAACGTTGCAGGCACAATTGTTGAATCGATGTTCATATTCAAATCGTCGGCATAAATGAATGCGGCCGATTGTGGATTATTTGATTGTTCGGTGAGATACGAGTAAATTCTATTTTCTTTATCCTGTTGAAGTTGTTGTTGTAAATTAACCGTTCGATGTGTTGTCTCATACAATTTTGAATGATGTGATTTAATCGGTTTTCTATCTAATAAATTCGATGCTGAATCGCATTGAGTACGTGATGTTGTTAATTGTGGCCGTGAATCAAACATAATCGATTCATTATTCAAATAGTTTTGGGTAGGTACTGAACAATCTACAAATAATAATGTATTATGTAATGGATTGGTTGGAATCGAATGAGCTGGCTGATAAAACGGCGCCATTGTCGAATATTTTTGTCGGGATGACAAACCACTCGTTACGGATGTTTCATGACTTACTTCGGTGAGGCTGCCCATTGATTTATCATCATTATCATCATCATCGTCGCCGTCGTCACCATCATTGCCATCATCATCCGATGAATCAATAACAATGACATCGTTGAATTTCGGTCGTTTATGTGTTGACACTTGTGTTTTTATACTTTCGATTTCTTTGTTTGACAGCCGTTCTACCGTTATGGCTAACGGTTTACATTTACTTTGTTGCAATTGAATCCGTTCCAATTGAATGACAGCTTCGTTGCGCATTTTCGTTGAGAGTTGTCGTCGCGGAAATTTATAACAATGAAATGGCTTTACAGTATTACGAAATGAGCTAATGTTGTAAATAATTGGTTTCTTATCCATAAACTTTGGCCGATTCGAACCGTCTATGGCAAGTGGTGGCGCCGCACAAGATCGTTCATATCGTTCGATACGCTCCCGTATGTAATCACTGTTAATTGGAGCATTTGATTGAGCGATGAGCCGCTGTCCTGCCGGTGATGTGATGGGTATTTGACTTTTTAGCAATGCATTTATAGCGGCAGGGGTTCGCACTCGTTTCACCGCTTTTTTATTTGGCTCTAAATCAATTGTATTGACACAATTATTATTATTAAGTATAGTGTTTTTGCTATTGATATTCATGAGTGCATTTTGTGAGGTTCGTTTGTTCGGTGTTAATGCTTTAATCGGTTTCTTTTCATCAGCCGGAATGTTTTTGCATAATTGAAAATGTTGGAGAAAACTATTTTGTTGTGTGGTTTTATCGATCGGATTTTCAGGCTCTTCTTCATCACAAAATATGACATCATCGTCATCATGACATTGACACGTCTTTTCATGCTCCTGTGAAAAAAAATGAAAGAACAATTGTATCAATATTTAATTCAAATATTTTCTCAATGATTTTTTTTGTTATGAATCGAAAACAATGTATTTACTTGATAAGCGCCCAATGAGTATAGTTCAGCATCGCAATTATCACAGAGATAGATGTCAAATAAGGATTGTTCGACCATTTGATGAGATTCCCCCGATTGTGAGTTTTGCATCTTAGGCATTAACGTCTTTTTGTTATTTACTGGCTGATCGTACAACTAAAGAACAAAAAAACCAACATAAAGAAAGCCGTCAATAAAACACATTGGTATTGAGGAGACAATCAAACACTGATTTCAATTCGGAATAATAAAACACAACAGCATCTTTCTACTACGACGTAAAAATTCGAATAAATAACAACGAAGAAAATGTTTGTGTATCCTCCTCGGTTAGTCATTGGAGTTCGGTTTGTAACTTCTGCGCAACTTTAAAATAATGTAAATAAAGATATACGCACACATTTGTGCGATATTTGATACACTCTATTATATTTTGGGTATTGCGTGTACAAAAATGTTCACCACATCATGTGTAGAAATGTGCGCAAGAATAAAGAGCTGAACAAATACTACACTCGAGTTTGATATTTCATGGACAATTAAAATGCAAGACATTTAACATCTAGAGAGAAAAAAACAAAATTTTACGACATTTTTTTAAAGCATGTGCATTCTAAAATGTATTTTCAACGAAGATAGAATACCCGGAGATAGTTCTATCGACAATTTCCATTATTGAGGTGTAGAGTATATCATGTTCTTTGACTTGAAAGCTAAGAACGAATGTTTTCGTTGCGATAATAGATAGAAGATATTTTTTTTATTTATATCTCAATATTTTCAACAACCAAAACCAGAATCTCTTGTATTTTATCAGTAAAATAGTTAAAAACACTATATACGCTTTGTTCGATTCATGTGTTGACACATGCGGATCAATTCCAAATAAATATTGATAGGGATCTTTTTTTTGAATGAGAACACATGCTTCACTGATCTTATTTTAAAATAACCCTTGTGGAAAATTACTGACTGACTAGTCACTTTACTAATTTAGGACGTTTTTGGCCAACTGAGATTAAAGTTTTTTTAAGTTGATTTGTCTGATTTTTCAGTCAATCCTAGTAGAGAAAAATATAACTTAATTCGACTTCAATCGCAGTTGACTATAGACAAAACTGTCCCAAATTAGTCATCCGTTTACATAGACGACTTCAGTTAAAAAAAAATTCAATTTCAGTCGATTTCAGCTAACCAGTCAGTCAATCACTTTTTTTCCACACGGGAATGCAATAGATTTTAATGTTTTTTTTTTCAACTTGCTCTGTATTATTTCTTATACAAAGTTGAAAAAAGTCCAACTTCTATTTAAAAAATCACACACAGTGCTAAAATCAAATTTTTTTTAACTTATTGCATACAGTGAAGTAATACAATGAAAACTAGATGATTTGTCGTATCAAATTTGGAACTAGTTGACACTCCGTATAAAATTGTATTTTTCCATTTAATTTCATAACAAACATCGTTTCTGTGTATTCTCTTTTGTGCGGTTCTTCTTCGTTTATGCTTTGAAGAAGATCCGCATAAAAGAGAATACACAAAAACGATATTTTATCCGAATTTTATACCGAACACTGTGCGTAAGAATAAGAACATGCAAGCAGCGCCACAATCGAATGCATTTGATTTGAATTATAAATTGAAGCGGTGAGAGTTCGAACTAACCAAATTACACTAACAAAATCTCACTAACATACACGCTCAGTGTTCATTTTATACAACAAGCCATCTAGTTTTCATTGTATGATTTCTTCGTGTGTGGCGGCTTTATTCAAAGCCTATACAGCTAATGAAAAACTCATTAGGTCATTTCAAATTTTATTGGTTTTTTTCCTTCAAATTTTTACGATTGAAAAATTATTTTTCATAAATTATAAATTCAAATTAAAGGTCCAATGGTCTCTCGTATTATCACAAAGTAGAAGCATCATATATTATGTACTCATATAGGTATAGATGTTTACATACAATTTGCATGAAGATTGGTTAGAGCGTTTAACTTGTTGTTTTCGTTCTCTGTTTTCGTGTGAATCGTCTTCATTTGTATTTTTTTAACAAACAAAAAAAACCAAAGGGTTATAGTATCAACAATACATTGAAATGCGATTTAAATAATGAAGCCACAGAAGAGGTGTGCAAAAATGGATATGCAAAAATAAAATATTGCAAATGGTATATATTCTTGAAATTGTATGTTGTTTCCTGTATATATGTGAGTATGAGTCTTCAGTTGTGCTTGCGGTTTAGAATGCGTTTTATCTATTTTAACATGTTTCCGTTGAAACGAGAAATTGCCAAACTTCGAAATTAAAATTACAGCAGAAAAGTTGCAATATTTAACAAATATTCTCCCCTAGATAGTTTAACATATCACCAAATGTCATGTATAAATTGACGAGTCATTGAATTCGAATGTGGTTTTATGTTTGCCTTTTTCCTTTATCTGTCCCATAAAGTTATGATATTAATGTGCATTTCCGCGAGCGTTGTAATACGAGAATCCTTATTTCAAACAATTTCAACACAAGTTATTCAAATAAAAACGTTTACAGTATTATTATTATTCTGTGTGTGTCTATTTCCGTGGCGCGTGTATGTTATACATATCCAATGTCTCTACGTATCTTCTATGTTCTACCTATTTTTACAATACTCACCATATTTTCATTACGGAAAGTCACCAACAACTTGTTACTGCGTCGATCGAACAGTGATGTCGTTGAATTGTAATTGTTGATAAAGCGCAGACTCTCGGCCGTGTATGCGGACAGATTTTCACAGAATCGCAGAAGAAATACACTTTTGTGGAATTGATAGCAGATGGCAACAATTTCCTTAAGCTTATTCAGCCAGCTATCGGTGAAGTCGTCGGGTCGTTTCAATGGTATTGTGAAACGAACATCTTCTGGCCACCATTCTGGTTCCGAATTACTATCCAACATTGGCGATTGAATTTCACCCAATGAACACTGTACCATGAATGGGATGAATTTTTCTAATTGTGATTCGGATATTTTGTCCAGCGATGTTGGGTAACCGCCCGCAAATAACAACGGCAAATTTGAAACCATATTCTCATTTTCATCATTTTCACCTAATTCATGCAGAATATCGCCAGGCATTCTGATCAATTCGTTATTGGCAGCACTCAAAACGGCTTGGAGATCTGAAATGATACAAAGAATCTTACATCAGTGATGGGAAGAGTGGAACGAATTATTTAAATTGAAATAAACGGTTGTATACATAAAAACCAATGAACATAAATGTTTAATGCTGATATAGAACCATAGCTTAACCGAAAAACTTGAACGGAATTCTTTTTGTGGTTTACTGAGTAAACTATCGTAAAAAAAAATTGTAATGAATTTTACTGCTCAGAAAATTTTACACAGCTAATTAAATCAGCTCTAGAGAGTTATTTTATGATTATACTAGTTTTTCAATGCAATTCGATTTATATGATGACGAATTGATTTCTAGAGTAGAAATACATCAACAGCAGGAATTATTCGAAAAATTATTAAACAAAACGGCACATTTTAATGGCTTCGTCAGTTTGGTCACAGTGGCAACGATAATATATACAATTTTTTTCTTACGAAAATCGAATTTGACTACATTTTATTTTATGTGTGGGTATGTATAAATTCAAAGCAATAAGAGCAAATTGTTTGGTGTAAAAATTGGCACACACAAAAAATAGAAGCCTGTTTGATACATTTCTTTCACGTATGAACTGTACTAACTTAGATCGAATAACTGAAGATAACATGTGGTGGTGTTTTCATTCGAATTAACAAAATAATCAAGAAAATACACGTTAAATAAGGACAACCCCTGCGATTTAAAGTAACATCAAAGATTGTTATTGTTCTATTAAAATATCATATACGCAAGCGAAACTGATCATAGTCAACACTGTGATGCATGTTATATACATGCAACAACAACAAACATCACGCAAAACGCTAGCATTGCACATACAAGAGAAGTGTATTCACACCGAGTAAGCATTTCACACAACTCCCTTAGCCAATGTGGTTCAGAATATTTGTTTTCTTTCGAATAAAGTAGACGAGGCACGACTGTGTGAGTGTGCTGCTAAAGACAACTGAGACCAAAAGGGAAAGACAGTGAGAAAGAGAAACAAAAAGTATTCAAGAGAATGAGGCGTATATGACGATGCGAATGTGATATTTGATTTGAATTAACATTTAAAATTGTGATTTTATTTGTTTAGTGACCACTCTATCAAATTTATATTGCAACATTATGTCATACATCCATAAGTTAATAAATGTAAATTTGTAAAATGGAAAATATTTAATTAAAACCAATTTCCATTGCGCGTGCGTTCCTGTTCGAAAGTTACTAAAACCCTTACGACTAATGTTTTCTTTAGTCCAAGACACAAACCGATAAATGTAACTTTGCCAATTTAAAACAACTAGATTACCGCACAACAACATTCAACGGACTAGAAACAATTCTCTTTTATTTTTTCATTTAACCATAAGCTGTGTGTTCGTATGATACATATACTTATAAGTTATTATAGCTCCGTAACGTGTGTTGACTGTACATGTTTCTTAAAAAAAAATCTTATTTTTTGTTTTGTTGTATTCGTTCGTGATCGTAGCGAACATACGGGTTTCGTATGTATTACAGAGATACATCGGTTGTGTGTGACGCGAACGAAACTAACGAATGCCCCCAAAGACAAAAATCACGATACAACGAAAGATGGAAAAATACGACATATTCCATACGCAAAAGAGACGCAATCGTTTTCCATTGAACCTTTAAGGTGGTTTCAAACGGGCATATACACATTGACGCCCAAATATGTGAGCTATGCACACGATGAATGTGTGCGTGTTTTAGTTTTGTTCACTCAGTTGCTCGGTGATATGTTCGATGCGAACAAAGCATGAACGATAGAAACGACATCGTCACTAACATTATTGAAACAAGACGACTCAGCTTAATTATGAAATAAATACGTAACACATTGCCTTAAACCTAGCAACGTTATTTTCAAATAAATTTGGACACTTTTTGTCGGATGAAATTTTGAAAAAAACATGAATTATTGAAAATATAATTTTTTATATATAGAAACCATATTTTTGGCTTGAAAACTCTGGTTTTGGACCCTAAAAAATATGGACTTGTAAATCAAAAATTAATTTTGACATTTGTCAGCACATTCAAAGTGACAGGAAGTCTGAAATTTTAAGGTTTTTGAGCGTAAATTGACACAACAAAGAAAAAACAGTTTTTTAGTTTACACCTTTTTGTCAATTTGCCAGTTGTATTTGACTCTGCGACTGAAGATGACAGCTTATGCCATTGAAACAATTGTATCGCTGTACGATATATATAGTATTCAAATTGACAAAAAGTTGAAAAAAAAATTGTTTTATTTTTTATTTTAATTGAAATAAAGTCGTTTTGTTAAACAAAAATTGACTTTTTCAATTTCTATCTCTTTCTTGCACACACGCAAATATTTTTCCTTGAACTGTCAAAGCTGTTCTGATATTACTTTTTTTTTGTTCGATTTGAAAAATTGAGAAAATACAAAAAAAGAATAAAATTCTTTTAAAATAAATAAAATAAAAAGAACAACTGAGTTCCTAAGGCGGTTCTCAAGATATTATACCCAATATGGTTGTAATGATCGCCATTTTGTGTAACAAACAGCCATTTCGTATAATCAAGTAGCCATTTCGTGTCGTACAAATATTATTCGTTTTTAAGAAAAATTCTTTAAAATAAAAATTAAAATAAAAATTGAAAAATAAAAATGCTGGTTTACCTTGCAGTGCCTTTTGTTGGGTAAGTTTCATTTTAAAAATGATTTTAATCCCAAGCGAAAAGAGAAATTATCGAAAAACTAACTATGAACCGCCGATAGCAATACGGGTTAAAACGTGTTGTTTCTCCGAGGAAGACGAAGATATACTGAAATGGTTTCACTGTAAATGCTCCGATATATGTACATTGAACACACAGTTGCCTTCGTTCGCGCGGAGAATCGAAGCACAGAACGTCGACTATCGTATTCCCCCACTCTCGGCTTTACGTTCAATAGAGAGAACCAACGCACCGTTTATTTTTAAATGAACGGACAATACGCTTACGATATTTGACACTCTCAGAAAATGTTGCACAAACGAAATAGAGTTTTTATTTGAATAAAAGCAACTATTTGCTTTGATGAATAAACAGCATGTGCGAAATATTTTTTTTTTTTTTTGAAAATCCAACAGAAAGCTACCGAAACAGAATCAGTCTTATGAATTCGATAAAATATTAAAACAACTTTTCTATTGAACTCAAAAACAAAGTTTTGAAAATGTGCACACCAAAGTTAAAATAATTTCGATAGAGCAGAGGTTATACTTATACGTAGATAAAGAGAAAAACATTAATCTTTTTGATTATCCGCTTTCTCTTTCCGCTCGTTCGTTTCGTTGGTTCGAGAAGTTTCTCGTGTATGCATTTGTGACTGTGTATGGATGTGTGTGTATGGTACAGAAATTGACAACTGTCATCAATAATAACCATATATATTTTCAGATGGCGTTGTTTATTTACTTTTTTGGTTGAACATTGGGTTGGTGAGGTATTTTTATCAAGACAGCGCTCGAATGATGGTACCGATTTTTATTTATATACTCGCAAATGACTTAAGAGATTTAATTTGTCTTGTTCGTCAATTGAGATCTACTTGAATGATTGTTTATAAGAATTGTATTGATAGTACGAGTAAGAATGAACGAAACAAAGCGAGAGAAAGTTCGAGAGCAGGGAAACGTAGACGTACTTTTGTGCATATTTTCTGTATTCAATTCTTTCATTCGATGATCGTACATGTTTTTTTATCATTTCCAGTCGAATTTTTGAAAGCATTTTAGTTTTCTGACGACCACCATTTGTATTAAAATTGTAAGAAAACTTGTTCTAGCCCATACTCGTAAAAATCGATGAATTCCCGTGTGCAAAAAACTCACTTACAGTCAGTCAAGCATAAATGAATTATTTCGACTATAACTGGCTAAGTTGATTGCTTTTTATATTACAAAATTTCAAATCTTGTCATCAGTCGGCTATTTTAGGGCGTTAGTCGTTTGAATGCAAAGTTAAAAAAACACTCGAAATTGAGATAGTTAGCCAATATTTTTACACACGGGCATTTGTAGTATTCCCGGGCGAATCGTTCAGGGATTCGAATATCTAACATTTTACCACATTGGCAATGCAAAATCATCGATGTGGATGTTTCCTTTTGGAATATTTTCATGTTAAAATATAAATGCAATGGTTTGAATTATGAGTTTCTAGAGATAATATTGAACAATTACAACTGCTGTACAATTTTCATATTATTAACAATTAATGGATTTCACTTTCAACTGAATCTTAATGATTTTTTAATTTGGAATGAACGGGAAATGTTCGAAAAAATCAATTTAAACAGTTCTTTCAATCAATATTGAGTCTTTGTTTGTTCGTTATTTGGGTGGGTTTATTTTGCAGGGCATACTAGAGTTATATAAAATATACGATTTTAATGTTATAGTTCAGTGTTTATTCGTTTTCGTTCATAGGCAGCACTGTATTAGATGACAAGACATAAAATAGTAATATATAATTTTAGCAACCTGGACAAAAGAAATATATTTTATTCAAAACAAAAAACAATTATGCTATTATTGTTATATTTTCCACGGAATTTCAGGTCACTTGTTGGAAAGAAAATAAGCTAGCGTGAGAATTTAATAAAATTTATCGAAAACATACTGAAGAAATACTTGCTGAGTGAAATGCTGACTTTGTAAGTTTGATCACATTTTTTTCGGAGAAACAATGAATTTCAAACTAGAAATGGGGCCAACAATTTTGAATGAAATTTTTTATAATATTATATCCATTTCTCATAAGTTTTTAACTTATTTGAATAATGTATATTTTTAACGTTGTTTGTTAATTATTAAAAATATTTTTTAATGAAAAACATACACAGTACAAAAAAACCATCCGATATTATACAAAAAACGACATATTGGGCGCGGCGCGTTCACGCAATTTTGGGAATAGAAATGCTATTACCATACGTTTATTCAACGTGTAAGTCTGTACTGTTCGAAGAAGATC